GATGTATCGGACTCCCTTGGCAGAGTCTCTGTCAATATTTTAGACAAATCCAAGATTTTGAACCGGAGGTCTCCAAACGTTGTTGCTATATTTCTCTCGTCAGTTTCAAAGTCTTGAGATTTATCAGAGGATGTTGACGTGATCATGACACCATTGTAATAAGTGTTCGTCTGCAAATCATAATCTGTAAAAATATAACAATAATTATGACATTGAATAAAGAATGCACTTATCTTAATTTTACAAATTAATGTGATCTACTTCTTACCAAGTTGAAAAAGCTGTCCAGCATTAATGATGTACTGCATCAGCAGAAATTCTTTCTTTAATTCTGCGAGTTTATTTAGCACGGTCCCGTTTTTAAAGTCATCAAAAAGTGCTTCTGCCAGTTTACATGTCCAGGTTTCATCTTCCTCAGCAGCATACCCAGGTTTTTGTAGACCAGACGTTGCAATGACAAACCTGTCCGCTTTAGGCCCACTTGGGAGCCTAGGATCACCTATAGCAAGGGACTTCTCTTGAAGAGTAATCTCAAAAAACAGGAAGCATGTATAATTATACTTCGGATCTATCAGCAGGCTCTCCTTGTTGCTTAGGATGTCAATCATATCTTTAATATAAAACTTCTTCCCATCTGCCATGAGTAGATAAACATCAGGGTCACAGCCTCCATTGCCCGAGCAATAGAGCAACATGGAATGACAGATTTGGCCACAGTCCTTGGGCTTGTTGCAAGCACTTTTCAGAACATTGGTGAAAGAGGCTAACGTCGGTCCATCATCCCCCCCGTTCATCCTTGCTGGGAATTTGGTGCCTTCCAAGACCTCAGCAACGGTATCGGCATCCTTCCCTTTGTCTGGACTAGTCCAGATACAAGCCCCAAAACCAAACATGCCCTCACACTGCATTCTGTCAAATATCTCTATTAACATCAAAGGAATAAAAACAATAAAGAAAACCGAGGAGAAACTTACTAGTCTCCATCTTGAGATGTGCACTCGGATGTGCATGAATGATGATAGATTGACTGGAGGTGTGGCCTGGGCAAACTGCATGCATCCATAGTCTCGCAGGCCAGACCCATGCATCCATGATGAAAGTTGAAGATAGTAAATGAAAAGGATTGGAAACGGGGATTTCATTTACTTTATTATCTATGCATGCATACATAGATATTAGAGTAAATGAAATTTCATTTACTCTAATATCTATGATGCATACCAATATGTACTCTGATATCTATGACAGTACCACCACTGATTAGCAAAACATAAAAAATAACAGCCAAACTACATAAAATATTATTATTATTATCAAATGTCTACTCAAATACACTACATAAATCAAATGTCTACTCAGAGACTCCTCAGATATTCGCGTACTTTGTCAGACACTTTGACTCCTTTGACTATCATTACTGTTGGCTGATCTAAAGCTTGGATTACTTGGCTCCAAGTTGGAATGCAGTACTCATCATACAATTTATCAACAAAGTACTCAAACTTTGTCAAAAAACTAAAACTAATATCCTCCTGTTTCATATAAAATAAAAGAGGTTGAGCAAATTTCTTTTTCCAGTCAGACTGAGGTACATCATTTAGTAATGACAAAGCTGATAGGAGCTGCTCCTTAGTTGGAGAACTATCAACTGAAGCACTACTAGTTATCACTGGTGCTGGCGGCTTGCTAGATGAAGGTGGATGAGTAGACGTAATTGAAGCAGATTTATTAGAAGATGTAGCACCAAGTACAGGAGACTCTAAACAAAAATTATTAAAAAGGCAATAATAATTATCATTTTTTACTTTTTTTAGACACGCCGCAAGATAGAGACGTAAACATTGGATTACCACAAAAAACTTTTTCTTCCCAATAGTTGTACATTGCAGTGCTCAGTATTGATCCAATGGAGGCTGAAGGAAGAGCAGCTTTATACGTATCAATAACTTCTGTCGTCCAATAAGCACATTCATTCTCATCAGGGCGACTGTCTTCCTTACTCACGAGTCCAGAGACTGCAATGGTGAAGTTTTTACAGCTGGGAAGAACTAAAGGACAGTTGCTGCAGTTGTCTGGCGGTGACTGATCTGATGTAAGGCACAATTCAAAGAAAAGCCAACAGGTTTTAAAAGGGGTTGATCGAGGAGCCCTCAGCCAATTAACAACCTCATCAATGTACACAATCTCAGTGTCTGATAGACACAGATATATCACTCCTTTTCTGTTAGTCTCAGGCTTTCCATAGCCACCATAACCAGTGAAGTACAGAACGAGGGATGAGGCAGTGATTCCTTCCAGAATTTGCTGTAGCTGCCCTCTATGTCTAC